TCAAGGAGCTCACGGCCAAGCTTCGATCAGTTAAATATCTTCACGTTGTACAAGAATACAACGCGGCCGCGGATTCGTTAGCCACTTAGGCGCTGGAATCAAAGGTCAGTCGGGTAATCTTGGCTGAAACTCGCAAGTCGGAATTGGCATCGCTGAACCGCATCCAGGAAATGATCTACGAGCCGGATGAAGACTCGGTAGATGTTTCGTCACAAGGAGCAGAGCGTCAAGTACATGTACTGTCAGGCAGCGAGTCTTCAAAGTGGAAAACTTTCGAAAATTTCGTGGTTGATTACAGCTCACCAAAGTGCGATTATGGTAATATAGCAGTGATGACTCGGCGACAGACGAAAGCCAAGAAACGCGTCAGGTTTGCAGATGAACACTCGGAGGATGTCTCAAAAGCTCGAGAAGAGCATGAAGAACGACGAGAGACGTCCACCGAAGATTCAATCGGCCAGGATTTGCCAGACCATCCTCACAAGACTGTACCAGCGGCATTTCCCGAAGCGGAAGATGTTGACCCGGTAGCGATACAGCGGGAGCGACGCAGACGGATACTAGTGGCACAAGACGAGGAACAGAAGTGGTTTAACATCAAGAAGGTGCTTCAGGGCCAAGCACAAGAGCTGAGTTACAAAGAAGCTCGAGATGCCTGGAAGTATGCTGACCGGTTCGTGTTATCAGAAGACGGCGTGCTTCACTATCTTGGATTGAATCGTCGGTACGACCACGGTTGGCAAGAGGAGACCAAGCTGCGGCTTGTGGTACCAACAACGATGATTCAAGAGGTCCTGCAAAACTGTCACGACTCGCTGGAAGGAGGACATCAAGGTGTAGTGAGAACGTTCCACCGCGTTAAGTCCGATTATTATTGGATCGGCTTGTACGCAGACGTGGAGAAGCACGTGAAGTCCTGTCCAGATTGCAGCTCGAGTAAAAGCCGTCCACAGTTTCGTGGATACTCACCTGGCAACGTACTAGCCGAACAACCTTTCCAGATCGTCTCGATGGATTTTGTGATCCCACTACCGAAATCTCGCAGGGGCAACACGGCGTTGCTCCTATTTCAGTGCTCGTTCACGGGATTCGTTATTGCCAAGGCTATGTCAGATACGACTGCACTGAGTGTTGCCCAAGTGTTCGAAGAATGTGTGTACCGACGATTCGGAGCCCCATCATTAATAAGGCACGACCGCGACCCACGCTTCATGAGCGAGGTTTTCCAAGCATTTGCAGAGATGATGCAGTCAAGATCACGAGCGACTTTGAGCTATCGGCCACAGGCTAATGGACAGCAGGAACGCTCGGTGAAGTCGGTGATGGGATCCGTACGGGTGTACGCGGAAGACCCTCTACAGCAAGATTGGGACGAAATCGCGGAGAAGCTAGTATTTGCTATTAATACTTCTCAAGACACTACGAGGAAGGAAACGCCGCTCTACCTCGTTCATGGTTGGGATGCGCAGTCGACGCTGCGGGCAATGTCGTCATCACTCAAACGAGGACTCGGCAAGCAGTCTGACGCACTGGCGTGGCGGCGCGAGATCAATCGACAACATGAGGTCGCCCTCACTATGGCCAAAGATTATCAGGCTGTAGAAAAGGAGCGAAGGGCTAAAAAGCATAATGAGGCCCTGAGTCGACTGGAGAAAGCTGCTGTACCTCAACCAAGTGGAAACTAACACTCGGCGAACCCTCCAGAAGCTTCGGAAGAGATGGAAGATCCTGCAAGAGCTCCACCGAGATCTCCTTTTGAGATTGGGAGCCGGGCGTGGTTGTACATGGAACGCGTCAAACCGGGCTTGACAAAGAAATTAGCTCACCAATGTCATGGACCTTTTCGGATCAAGCGCAAGGTGGAAGAGTTTGCGTACGAGCTGGAACTGCCTGATCGAAGTGGGTATCGCTTTTACCCAGTAGTGCATGTGTCAAGACTTAAGGCTGTCAACGAATTCAACAGTCGACCGAACACTCAATTGATACTTGACGCGACTAATGAAGCAAGACTCGACTTCGATGAGGAACTACTGCCTGAGGACAGCTGGGAACCAGACCAAGTTGCCGGTGAATATGAAGTCGAGGCTATCCTCGACGACAGAACACCACTAACGACGAGCACGGAGCGTGCTGTACGCGAGTTCAAAGTCGAGTGGGTTGGCTATGAAGATACAACTTGGGAACCATCATCAAACTTGTCTTGTGGAGGTCTGCTGTACGACTATTTGCGAGCCAAGAAGAGCGAGAATCGGCTGCAGATGGCGCAAGTGGCGGACGAAGACTAGCGTGACTGGATCACGTATGAACTGTCCACAGGGCGATGCAGCCTGTGGTAACAGACGAAGAACGTTACTGCAACAACAAATTGTATATGCATTTAAAGAACAACATGAACATGATTACGCTGTGGAAGTGGATTAAGAATAAGAAAACATGAATGCCGACCGGAGAGCGACCACTGAAAACGAATTCACGCGGGATACCTCAACAGTTGGCTGAGATGCTAAAGAACGTCGTGGAACACGCAGCGAGGACATCATCGAAACCAACAGCAGTCTCGAGGCGACGCTGAGTGTGTATATCGCCGTGGAGAGGAGGCGCAACGCTGAGCTGCACTTGGTGACGAGCCATTGCAGTCAAGTACGGGATTATCGAGGTCATCATGTGATCGACCGATGCCTCCGTACTTTCAGCCAGCATGGCGCGCAGCGAAGCTTCAATGAGTGGTGGCGGACCACCAGCTGGGGCGGGAGGAGCAGCAGGAGCCATCTCCGTGGGTTCAGCGACGACGGGGAGTGCTGCAGGAGCTACCACAGGGAGTGAAGAGTCCGGGGCAGCGAGCGCCGAAGGACCAGTTGATGACGCCGCTGTCGGAGGAAGTGTAGCAGACTGAGGGACGTTCGAACTCTCGGCCTTGCCCTCTTGAGAAACAAGTCGAGTAATGCGAGATGATGAGCAAGGTGCCGATGATTCAAGAGAAGGATGAGCTGACGTACCTCCAGCTGTTCACGTTCGCGACGTCTACGAGGATTGAGACGCTGAAAAGCGTCGGACACGGCTCGATTCAGACGCTTGGACATACGGTGGCGAGATGGTGAATTGAAGAATGAAGAAATGTCACAACGGGCACCAGTACCGTGGCTTCCATTGCGACAGGGGCAGTTGTGGTGTAGTGATTTCTCCGTGGTTGCGGATTATCACCCGTCGACAAAGACGTGACACCGCCCAAGTTGTTCAAGCGACGAACCCTCGGTCGGGTGATGTACGCAGACGCCAAGGTGCAAGGGACTCGACGGCGTCACCTCCGAGTTTTCAACAAGTATCGGATACGGCCCTATGTCACTGAATCCAGGCTGTCCTTATTATTAATAATGGACTGGCCTTTGGAAGACACGTTCACCGTCTGGGACAGGGCGCGGACCGTTAAAGATGCTCATGCGACGGTGCAGACGACGCTTGGCATGCAAGAAGATCCATAACGGATCATTGTTCACTTGATATTTGTATACTTGATTAGGACTTCTTATTAGGAATAGACCCGAAAGGGTAAGCTTAAATACAGAACAGAATTTCCACTCAAGCACACAGAGCGACGTCCGGCTTCAAGGTAAGCGTCAGGTCAAGCTTGTTTGAGTGTGTTATGCCTGTCGGTGAACTCGAAGCTCTGTAGCGAGGGTTCATCCGGAAAGGCCAAGAGACTTTGTGTATTGGCCGATTATTATCGGGAGGTTTTACGTGACGGCTTATTGTTGCCTATTTGCACGACTGGGAGTGCTTGAATTGCCTCCCTTTTATTTCTTCCAGCCGAGTGTTGAACACTCGGTGATCTCGTAAAAGGCTTACCCGTGCCTGGTACCCTTCCGCTGTTGGGACCACGAGGATTCAAAACACCTGCTAGCTTTGCTCGTGCTAGTAGCGTGTTCTTATTTTACTGGTTGGCCTATATAAGTAGTTTACAAGGTCCAGTTTGTCCCGGTGCAAGGGCAGAACTGGGGTCTTCAGGTCCGCCCGAACGATCGTTTACTATCCTAGTAGACGTATTGCTGTGGGAACATCCTAACTACATCTGTAGCTAGAGTTCACGTGGGATTTCCAACACCACAGTACTAATCTCTCCAAGCTGGGGTCGTCGTCGTCTTCATCTTCGTTGACAGGGTTGGCAGTAACTACAGCTCCTGCATTGCCAAGAAACACTAGCGACGCGGGCCCGGGTCGTATCCACAGTTCGTAGAAGAAGCGATTGTAGTGTGTTTGGGGGCCTCGCTTTTTAATTCCCTGGCAACACTGAGCGGTGGGCAACGAGTTTGACAGGCCAGCTGCGACATTTGATCGAGCTCGAGGAAGATGAAGACCATCCCAAGAAGAATCGAACTCCTCTTCCATACTATTGCGCAGCTCTGGAAAAGCGATGGGAAGCATTCGAGACGCAATCAACTAGCCACACAGTGGGCATGAACCTGCTGGAGAAGCTCGCGTCGATGCGTGCGGATGAAGAGATGGAGGAGCCCGTCGCGAAGGATGTCGTGATGCATTTAGTGGAGAGTGGACATCTCTTGCTGCATCAACGATTCCGAGCTGCGTTTGTGGAGCGATGGGTAGCGGCAGAGGTGATTGGATTGTCTGACGGCGACGAGAACGGGATCATCAGTGGGCGTTTACGTGCTCTTCAGTCGTGCATGGATCTGGTTCATTTGCTCAGATACAAGCGCGAGTTCGTGTTTGATCAAGACGACTGCTCAGTGGCCAAGATGTACATCGAGCACACTGTACTCAGCATGGACGCCGGTACAGGAGCTGACGCTCGTGGTATCAAGCAGCAGGTGGCTGCGAATTTTGAGCCACTGCGTCTTGAAGTGGCGAGTGAATTCTATAAAGAGTACGCAGTGCACTTACGTACGCTTGGTTTCCGACGTCTTCGGACGCTAGCTACCAGCAGAAGCCATGCACGTGCCTTCCCTGCGGACCCCAGCGCAGCAAACGAGAGCGACATACCTGCCAAAGAAGGCTTCTCCGAGTACTTTTACCACCCGGTAAGAACTGCAGCGGAAGCGGCTGGGTGGACGAATAGTGCAAGCAATGACCCTCTCTCCATCGTGGTGCTTGAGGTAAAATGCGACAATCGAGGCGTGCTGCTGACTGCGGTACGTGTGAGTTTGCACGACTTGGAGCAGCAAGATCTGCGTTTCAGAATCGTTTGGCTGCCAAGACTGGGAAGAAGACGACTGGAGTATCTGGAGCAAGAGTGCAGAGTGTAGCGTCGTGGCTACGTGATCAGCTGCAGACCCAAACTCTCATTTACGGGTTGACCATCCGCTACTTCCAGCAACATCTTCTGCAGTGGCTTGACGCGTCGCACGACTTCCACGACGCAGAGAATGGACACGGTCACAGTGTAGGCAAGCATCAAAGTGAGGATGACGCGTTTGTCGTGACCCCACCGCTGCCTTGGAAGAAAGCGGCCACGTTCCAGAACATCGGCAAGGGGCTTCAATGCTTCTTGCAAGCCTTTCCGGATCCGCCTATGGAACCCAAGAAGTTCAGTACTCCAACCCCAACGTCGTCACCGTGCAGATCTTACTCCGATACATCGCATGTCATGGCTCACGCTACCAAGTGTTAGACCTACTGCAGTTTGGTACACCGGATGCAGTCGTGTGTCACTCGTCATCAAAAGCTTTTGTGTGCTACCGGTGGAGCGGGCTCTGCAGGAAGCTCAGCTCTTCACGCGAGAGTTGTTCCGCGTTGCTGCTCAACACTACGAACGTGATTTGCTGTGATCTCGCCTGCTGTTTGATGACTCACGTGGCCCTGATGCCGATGTGGCTCGCACGTTGGCGCTTCCGGCGGACTTGTTCCGAGTATATGTGGGCCCACAGCAGCTTGAAGAGTGTCTCAAGCTGTCTATCTGTACGCCTTTGGAGGTGCTGGACCCGCGACTGGACGAGCTGCTGCGTGTATCTGGCGTGTGCTGGCACCAGACTCGGTATCTTCTCCGTGGCGCTTGGTCGGGTCGTTGAGCTCGTTATACAGTCGTGGCTAAGTTCAAGCCTGGTTGTAAGAACTATGATCTCCACCACGTACAGCTAATTAGAGCAGAAGTGTCGTTTAAGATAACGGGGTTCTAAGTAAAATAAAATTGTCAAATCTGCCCGTCAACGTCATTTTTTAATCCACAACTTTAGTTTGATCGCTCTTCGAACTCTAACATGACACGAAATTGGCGGCTTTCGGATCCCCATGCGGAGCTGCCCATCAAGAATCACAAATATGTGAAAAGCTGCACCGAGCTGTACATGGCCAACAAGCGCATCGACTAAATTGCGAACTTCGATGCTTTCGTTAACCTCAGGTGCTCTGGATCAATGACAACCAGGTATGTCATCTGTGCAGTAGAATTCCCACTTAAGATTCTTTCTTTGACGACCTGCCAGATTCAGGAACTTGACGGCCTGGACGGTTGCTTCCGTCTCAAGCAGATCAACGCTCACAACAACTGCATCCGGTACGTCAAAAGTGCGCCTTGTCGACCTGCTCTCCTCGAAAAACAAGTGTACTTCTGGTCCTATAAACAGCTCGCTTGAAGATTCACCGCAACTACTACGCTACGACTGCAAGACTGATGAGGCTGCAGCCTCGACCGAGAAAGTGCTATAATAGCTCCAATATTCCGTCCAACACATCGATCTCCTCACTTACTTAATTCAAATTATCCTATTCGTTTGCATTTTTGTTTAGTATTATCCAGGTCGTGGTCGTCCCCTTTGTCGCTCGTTTGGTTTGCAGTTCATCGGGCAAATTGTAGTCTTGATACGTCTCGGTGGGGTTATAAAAGCGAATGATTGGATCTGCAGTAAGATCTACTTAACTAAGTCGTTGACGACAAAGAAAGTTGGACCATGTTGACCACAACCTCCACTCCGTCCCTCATTTTGTAGTCATTGTCGGCTGCAACGACGGCCGTGATGCAGCCGAGAGCAGATTCATCCAGTTTTTTTAAAATCAGTGCGGCCACACGTGGACAATTCTTCCATACAATACATTTACATTTAAGTCCCAAATGCGGATCTTCAGCGGTTGAAGATAGCTACGTTCTTTCCGTTCTAAGTCACAACTACACATATAGGGATCTAAGTGCCATTACTAGTGTAGTTGCGATTGTATGACACTGAGCTATCTCAGTGAACGTAGTGTTTTTATCGTTTGAGTTGGTGTGAAGTTCCTTCACATCTTGCATGGGTTCGTTTCTAAAGCGATACACTACGATACAGATGGTGCTTGTAATCCGCCACTATTTTGGTGCTGCTGCCCCCTCCATCGTGGGATTACTCATACACTAACGTGTGTATAGTCACTTTATTAGTGTTTTGGTCTGCTTCTCATCCCGCTATTATAAGACCACAATACGACAAGACGACAGGAAATAATGCAGCCTTATCGCCTAAAGCGACTACAAAAACATATGGTCTCTGGTAATTTATAATAAATGACGTGGCCACGTCGTCGCCGTCATCTATCCTAAACTATCAACGCTAGCGTTGATAGTTGAGGAAAAATCGTGACACACAGAATTTTTAGCTTTAATAGTGTACGTACATAGTGGAAAGCCTTCACCATATTATGGTGAAGGCAATAAGTCTTTTATTCGGCATATTTCAGTGTAAAGAGCTCTTTGGGAACATTGTACCGTGTCTGATGCTACATACCAGACTGGTATAACCAGCTGATGGCTAAATCTTTTGAGGAATGTACTTGTATTGCATGTGCTGGGAACAACTGATGACGGAGACATGAATGTTATTTAGTGGTATTACAAGAATAACGCTCTAGATGACCCCGTTAGCCTAAGGCTATCTCCACTCCTGGTTGCTATCCCGATTGCTATCGGTCATTCGTGATTGGCTGTTGCTATCGACTGAACGTTGAGCAATAGCGACTCCTCGCCGACTCCACTCGTCAGATTGCTTGTTCACCTACGGAAAGCACAATGGAGAGTAGCGACGAAGAAGTTTACCTACTCCTTGATAACGACGACGACTTTCTTGCCGCTGCCTGTGTGCTCATCTGTGTAAGATCATCCAGCACGACAAATACTCGAGCCTACTTCCATGAGTTTCCAGGAACAATACGACAGCATCATTGACAACATCGTCGTCATTCTTCCCCGATTCATTGCGAGCTTTCACGCGAGAAACACACCCAGCGAACTTGGCCGTGTCATGAGAAATTAAGCTCCAGCGATTTTTGATGGCCTGCAAGGTCCGCGAGTCGCCGCCGAAAGCTGTTGCTGTACGCTGGTACACATTCTCCCAGAAAGCAGTAGCCTTTTGATCGGTCCCCTGGATGGAGTTTTCAGCGGCAGCCTTGTACGCACGAGCCAGAGCCTCGTCCTCCTGATCGCACCACCTCTTGCCTCTCCCCATGATGCTGCGCGATCTTTCTGTTGTGCCAGTTTCGATTTTTGCACCACAGTTGCTATTCGGGCCTCGAATAGCAACAAAAGTCGAGTTGCTATTCTATTATAGCAATAGCAACCCCGACTGGAGATAGCAGATTGTAATATTTTCTCTATTTAGCAATAGAAGCTCAAATAACAACTTGAGTGGAAATAGCCTTAACGCACAGGACTGATTGCAGGTTAATTTGTCAGCGCACTGCTGGTAATAGCACCCGACGAGGTGTGTACAGCTTGCCTTCGTCAGCCACTTTTCATGATTCACAGAAATATACATTTGTTTGATCACTTTGACAGCAGTTAAAGAACAATCATTAATTTTGAAGGGTTTTAAGTGTAGAAATGGCTTCACTTTTGGAATAAAGCTCTTTTAAAAAAATACATTTGTTATTTTGCCCGACTGAGGTAACATAGCTTCGACGTTTATTCGTAAACAGACAGTAAAGTACCGGTACAGTCACACCTCCTTATTTGAACCTCTATAACTGACCACTACTTCTTAACTTGAATGTAGTATCTCAAAGCAAACGAGACTATATGAGGTTCATTATTCCAGTCCCTCTAATTGACTAAAACCCTCTCTTATCGCTAAATGACAGTCAATTCCGGAGGTAAAACTCTCTATCTGGACAGGTGACCGTCCACCATAGAATACTTCTCACTTTTAAATTCCAGCTGAATCCCGTCAATATTCCTTTTATAATCCCCGCTCGCACCATGACACCGCCACACTCAGCAGACATTGGCAACTATGAGCAGAAAAGGAAAGAAACGCGATAAAGCTCGTATCACAATAGCATTCTGTTGTAATGCAACGGGTACGCACAAGTTAGACCCGGTCGTGATTGGCACAGTAGAAAACCCACGTTGTTTATTGGCGGGGGTGCTCGTGCGCTAAAAGGCAAGGCTGTTCAATACTACAATAGCAAAAAAGCATGGATGACAGCCCGAATATTCTCCGAGTGGGTACAAAGTTTCAACTTAAAGATGGCTGTTTAAAATCGCAAGGTCCTGCTGTTGATTGACAATGCCTCAAGTCACAAGATTACCCGGTCATATTCAAACATCGAGGTACGCTCTCTTCCTCCTAATCTAACGTCGTCTGTCCAGCCTTTGGATCAGGGTCAGCTATATGAATCTGTGTAGCTACAGTACAACCAAGAACCCACCTGTACCTGCGTCGACATCCCTTGCTTATTGCGTGGAGCTTTCAACATTTCTGTTTCAGTGCGAGGGGGACACTAAAGACCAGCAGAGCATGCTGCAATCTTTGACAAAGCTAGTGCGAACGCAAGTGGTGAAGCGTAGGCGACTGCGGACACTCGATAGTTTCTTTCAGCAAGATGGCTACATGTATCCGCTTCTCTAAGTGACCAATTCTATATATGAAAGACATTTTCATCGAACCAATCGGGCGTCATTTACAGACAACGACGGTGAAATCCGCCATACCTTTGAAACACGCCCGAGTCCAAACATGGTTTTCCCACTAATGAAACCATTTTCAGCCAATCCGTATGCCGTATTTGGGCCTTTTTGTACAATCAACCCAGGATGTGTTGATTCCTGCATCGGTTCTGTACATTTTGGAATCGTTTTTGTACTTTGTGTTCAGACTTTGAGCTGAAACTGCCACTTTCAACCAATCAAATAACTGGGCGGGTATTCTTGTCGCGCGTAATTTTTTTATTTTATATGAAGGATAGTGTTCAGACACCGGGCGGATTTCACCGTCGTTGTCTTTATGGAGGTGGGACTGTACGGTTAAACTGGAGTAAAGGTAGGACACGAGGAATTACCTTGACTCAGTGAAAAGCACTGAGATGTGCCAAATCGATCGTGGAAATGGTGATTATCTGGACTGCGTCTGTGGTGTAGGGATTTCCAGATTCGACCATACGCCGACCTACTTTAGGTCAAGAATCGGCTCGGTCTGATAACCCAGAGCTTAGGAGCCAAGGATCACGGTAAGTACTCGGCGATCTGTCCGGATATGCTATCCGGATAGCCGCTGAGCTCAACGGCCGCCTGAAGAGTCGGTAGAGATCCGAAACGACTACATTTCACTAGATATTTGTATGAGAAGCATAGGATTAAATAGGAGGAGCCGAAAAGGCTCCCAGAAGATAACAGAGCAGAATTTTCCTAGTCCAAGACAAGTGTACACTTTTCCGGTAAGTCCCTGCATAGGGCTGGATTATGCCTGCCGTCAATACTCGAGAGGCATAGCTTGTAGAGTATTGACTGGTAGCGCCAAGAGATTAGGTCGGTCCGGGTAGGACAAAGTCTCGCTACGCGCGAAAGAAAGTCCCGCATACTCAGCGGGCCGGTACGTCGGATAGCCCGGGTGCCGTAACACTTCTAGCTGAGCAGCCTCTGCGCTCGGTGACCTGTAAAAGCGCTCGCGCGCCGTCGTCCATCCTTTGGTGGAGGGCACAGGGTTGTGAACGAGCTCAGCCGAACCAAACTCGGCGGAGCCTCGGAAGTGATCTGACTTGGTTAGTCGGAACCGAGTGGAAGCGAGCCACTCGTCTGTCCCGGAAGGGCCGGACCGCGAGGGAACCACCCTCTGCGCAGGCCATACAACCGCCGACCTAACTCGGCGATTCGTTGTGGTTTGTGTAAGGAATCCACATCTGACGATATTTGTGTGTTCTACTACACCACAACTGGTGCCGCGACCCGGGAACAGGAGTGTGTGCTTGTTTTTATAAGGTGCCAGCTAACCAAGTTAAGAGGAAGAGAAGAGAAAGAGAAGAGTGAAGATGGTCAAGGGATCAGCAACTCCGAGCGACGGAAGCCCAGCGACGGCTGGAGGATCGCCTCTCGCGGGGTCGGACCCGGCGGATCAACGACTCATCGCCATGACGATGGAGGTGGGACGAACCGTCCAGTTCGACGAGGATGGCCAAGACCAGGAGAGCGAGAACGGAGACGCAAGTGAAGGAGAGTATGAAGAGAAGGCCGAGACCGCTGAGCTCGGAGAAACGAAGACTACCGCCGAGCTACTTGGCGAGGTGGAAGAGTTGACGCTGCAGGTGGGACGCATGGGAGCCCCACGTCCTGTCGAGCGCAACTTATCCGCCGAGCTCGACGAAGGTGCGGACGATGAAGAAGATGAAGAAGACCATGGCGTTGCTCAAGGGGACCGTTCGCCCCTTATTCCAAAAGCGACGAGGAACGCCGATACGCCGAGCGCCAATAAAGTGTTGGCTCGACTCGGCGAGGAGATGAGAACGAGATCGGAATGGATGATGATGTTCGCGCCTGTGGCGATGGCGCAGGCGAAGTGGCCGATGTTGGGTCCCGATTTAACTCAGCCGGTGCGTGCAGCCAACATCAATCAGTTGGTGGAAGAAACTGTGTTGCTGTTGAAGGCGATGGGCTATCGGTGCAACAGCCGACCAAACAGCCTCATTCTGTCCGACTGGAGTCTGACCCGTGGCGGAGCCGAGCTCTGGCAATGGAAGAAGAAGCTCAGAGTGGCGTTTGGATTGGAGAAGGCCCCTGACGGAACGAAGAAGGTGTACAGCCGAGTAGCCGAGTTCAAACCACTCGGCGAGGACCCGAGCAAGATTCCTTTGCCAAAAACCCCGGAGACGAAGAGACGTGAAGTGTTCCGCGCTACGCAAGGGACTCCGTACTTCGAAGAATCTCACATGCTGACTCCATTAAAGCTAAACCCGACTCAGCGAGCGCCGAGTCGTGGGCAGCGAAATGTAGGTCGTTATCGTGAATTGTATGACGCTGCAGATGAGGCTGAGGCTTACGAGGAGGATGAAGAAGACGGCGATGCCTTCGACGTGAGAGGTAACCGTGAAGAAACCGTGAAGAACTATATTCGAAACTTGAGCTTTGACGCGGCTGAAGAGGACTCGACGCAGTACCTAGAAGTCCGAACCCACGCCTCGCTCGACAAAATCGCCGAGTTCGAAGGAAAGCGCTACCGCTCTGACGCGTCGCTCCAGTGGCTCAAGCGGTTCATCTACGAGATGAAGAGCACCAGGATGCCCCAAAGTGCATGGTGCGAGCCTTTCTCGCTATGCTTGGGACGCGCGGCGAAGAGTTGGTACAGGCAGCTGCCGAAGAAGACTCAGCGACGTTGGAAACTACTCAGCGAGGCTTTCCTGGATTATTACTGCTCACAGTTCGACCAATCCGCCCGCACTCGTTACTACTCGGCGAGACGTAAAGTCAACGAACCGATCTGCGACTTCCTGATCCGACTCAACGGGTACGCTCGGACAGCCAAGATCCAGTACGAGAAGGGTGGCGCCGACGCAGCTGACCATGTCGAACACTTCTTGCTGCATTGTGGTGATGACGATGTGATGGATTTAATGTACCCCTTGCAGTTGGAAGACATCAGTAAGGTGGAATCGATAATCAATCGTCGGATCCTCGGCGAGAAGCGTAAGAAGCAACGCGACCGACTCGTGACCGCACGAAGCCGAGATGACAAGCGGAAGGATCAGAGCCGCCGAGATGAGAAGCGCAGTCGCAAGGAAGAAAACCGCGACCGCCGAGTCACTGTCGTTGACGCTGACTCCGACGGAGAGGAACTCATCGATCAGAACCCGCCGAGTCCGTACAACTCCGAAGACGAATGGGATGATGAGGACCAGTCCGGAGGACACGACTCAGCGGAAGACGACGACTACATTGACGTCGGCGTTTCCAATGATAGGGGAAATACACCGGACCGCCGAGAGAACTCGGCGGGAGACCAGAAAGGCTCGAACCGAAGCTGGGGAAACTTAGCAAACCGACCTCCGCGACCGTACAACCAACGAGAACAGTCGAATCGTGGAGATGGATCACGCGACAACACCCAACGAGGACCTTGTGCAGCTTGTGGAAGAATGGGGCACTCGGCTCACTACTGTCGACGACGCTGCAAATTCTGCAGACAAGTCCATGAAGGCGGCCAGTGTGAGCTGTTCCGTCAATATGAGAAGCTGGCCGCGT